GATTGTCCCAAGGCGGAAGCCTGAATCCCAGGCCCTGTAATGCTTCAGCAGCTGTAGTTAGGCTAAATAGTACGTTACTGCGCCTATGCATAGTTTCCACTGATCCCTCGGAGGAGTGCTATATCGTCAACTTCCCTCCTGCTAGGGTAAATATCTTGTTTAATCATTCAATAGTAGTAGCAAACGATTTTCTTTGCTTCATTGCTTATCTAAATGTGCACGCTTTTAACAATCACAAAGCTTTGAGAATTCATGGGAACGTTAGAGTAATGCTAATCAAAACGGCTGCCTCCCTAAAGCAACAGACACTCAAAAGGGTTTCGTTAGAAAACAAGAGATGGGAACGTAAGTTTTAAATGTATTACCAGAAGTTGTCTGAATTATTACAATCCTCACTACAATGCAAGATATCAATTAGTTTCGGCACCATGCCCCGAATATCAACTTACTACAATTCAAACCTACCTTTTCTCATCGATGAGTCCCCCTATGGATATTTCGCCAGGTTTTTGCTCTGTGCTGCTTGAGTCGTAATCAAACTAGAATACGGAAACAACGTGATCTTAAAACTAGTTGACATGCTTAGGACGACATCTTTATAATGTTCTGTTTGTCAAACTGCCAATTCCGGTTGCAGTGGCTTACGCGAACATTTTGCCATGTCTAGGTGTGCTGGCGTGTCTACCATGCCAAAGACCCTGTTCTTTTTCTATTCGTCCTAACATTATGTCTCCCGTCGTCTTTAAGAAAGTATTTGGACGCTAAAGCCAAGACCCTATACCTTAGTCCGATTCCATCATGAAATCGGTAGTAATTGTCGAAATTCTGTCAACGATGCTGCCCAAATAAACGCCGAATTCTGGAATAAATTGTAGCTTACTTAGATGACATTCGTATAGCATTGCATACCTGCCGGGATAAGAGAAAATCCCCAAAGGAAGCCCCAACTTTAATTGTTTCTGGATCCCGATTCTCCTTCACAGCAGAACCAACTGGGTTCACCTCTGATTCCGGTGCTAAGCGCTGCTCTTGGAGAACTTTTATGCACTCCAAGGTCATCGGATCAGGCCCAAGACTGGAGGATGAACCCAAGCGCTTGTCCCCTTCTGTCTTCTCTCTCACACTTCCACGGGAAGAAACATCAACAAACTTTTCAGCCGCTTCGACAGTTTCGCAAACGTCTACTGGCCTGATGCTAAAATCTTGTAAGTAAATATTCGGGTAAGGTGCAAGCACATAGCCATAAAGGGATGACCATCTCACGGCAAAGTATGCGCTCCGAATCAAATTTATTCCTGCATCAAAAAATCCACTCAAAAAGAGCATTACCAAAACGTACTTACAAATTTCTTTAAGATAGGTATGCAATTTTAGGAACATGTCCAACACACCGTGTTTGCCACCATCA